ATTTTGAAAATGCACCCATCTTACAAAAGCATTTAGGGGGGACTAGCTCTGTAAAGCAACCCATGGAAATCTGTGATCGAATGTGACCAACAGGAAATCTTAAAGGTGACAGAATAGTATGTGTCAGTCCTATGTAAAAAGTTGACTGGAATGCTTGGCCTTCTTTGCTGGCTCCAACACGAACATTTGTTTTGAGGAAACAATTGTGAGAAATGCTTCTGTTCGAAAACATTAGCTTATGGAGCAAACACTTGATTTTGAAATCTACACTTAAACTATTAGGTTTCTGCCAAATAAAATACTTGTCTACCCAAACATATGTTTCACTGGAAAATGTTTGCCAATGTAGACAGACAAGAAGGAAATGACCCAAATATGGTCAAACTTAGCAATATTTTTAAAAGTCAAATTGTTAATCACTGAATTTTCAAAATGTTAATTTTCCAATCAATGATCCAATCAATTACTATATTATATAAATGGACTAAGGATGTATTACATGATTATACATCTTTTTAAATTCTACTTAAGAATCGGGCAGTCTTATCAAGGCAGAGATTTTTTTTGAGTCTTAGGAATCTTAAGTCATTTTCTGCAATTCTTTTTTCTTCTTCTTTTGAAAGGAAATTAGCCATAGTTAGTCTGTAAGGATTTTTGGCAATTGTATTGGCTCATTTTAAAACATTTTTCTACATGGCGTTTTCCCTCAAAAGGATCTGGATCACTGGTCTCTTAATTTTTTAGCTTTATTCCTTTCTTTGAAATAGTTCTTTACAGTTAAAAAAGATTAGGTCAGAGAATCATAGCGTGTTCCATCCAGAGCCAGGAAATGGCATTGCCAAATCACCAAATCACGGTTCAGTGCAATTTCTGCAGCACCGATGGCTTCATCAGGAGCCCTCCCCTGTTTTTCAGGTGCCTTAATTGTGAGTTGATTCTCAGACTTAAACCTGAGTGTATTGTAGGTCAGGGCATTCCCGCAGAAGTGTCTCTCTGAATCTGCGGAATATGACTGCAGGGACTCCAAGCAGATGGAGCCTTTGCCCCGAGAGAGGGCAGCCAGCTATCCGATTGTTATCCTCACTGGCGGAGGAAGAAACGTCACCTGGGCCTCCCAGATAATTTGCGCAGGGTCCAGTCTTTGGATCTTTGCTCAGGCAGTTTCCTGTCCCAGAACACCTTCCCTCTCTGCCCACCTGAACGTGGGGAATCTGTACGGCCCAGCTCACTTGCAAAGCTTTGCTTGATCACTCCTAGACTAAAGTGATGGCTTCCTCTTTTGAACCCTCACGCCTCTCACTGGCTCCAGAACCAGGGCACTGGAGAAGGAAAGCCGGGCTCTGAAAGATTTCCACAGTATAAGATTATTGAAGGCAGAGGCACCATAATTTACATTATTTTGGTTTTTCTGTCAGCAACCTGCATAGTGTCTTTATTTTGGTCTAAAGTCATGTTTTCCAGTTTCGAAAAGGAAGCTGCGAATAGTTTCTTTTTTTCTTTAACTGAGAGGGGACATATATGTCCCCTCACAGGGGACGTATATTCACTGGAAATAATCCGATGAAAACAAGCCTTAGGCTCACCCTCTGACTCCGCAGCCCAGAGGAGGGTCCGGGCACCTGTCTAGCCAGGAGCGTGTGTAACGAGAGAGGCACACAGGCTTCCCAGGCTTCCCGCAGGTATGTGTGAGAGCCCCCGTGAGAGTGTGTGTCCTTTTTCCTCTGGCTGCCCTGGCGGGAAAGCCTCAGGGCTCCTTCAACTGGGGGTAACTGGAAGCTGTCCCGGCCCCCACAGACTGCTGCTGGGCGCTCAGGAGAACCAACCAGGCACTAGGAACTCCAGCCCTCAGAATGTGGATCAGCCAGAGCATATGCTCCTAATTTCAAACAGACGCCCTGGAACATGCTTGCTCATCCTTATTACAACCAAAGGCCTACAGGCTTCGACTAATTTAGGCAGAAATCGGGACCAAAAGAAGACGGTGTTAGAACCGGGTAGCATTTGCTAGAAGAGCTTCAGAGGAGATTGTCCCAAAGGTCCCTACCAATAGTCTCTCACACACAGTAGGAGTCCATGAGATATTGTGGATAGCTGTTAAATTGTAGGTAACTTTGGCTGGGCTTGTCTATTCCTACAGACTCTTTGAAAAATGTAAGACTAAATTCCTAGGGAAAGGGTTGATGGGAAGGAGATAATGAAGGGAATATGTGAGTTTCTGAAGGGACAGTCCTCCTTGTCAGGATTTATAAAAAGGAAAAAGAGCAGCTGTTTTTCACCCAATGGCTGTTCATTAAATCTTTATGGGACTGAACTGCCACCAATATATTTCAAACTCACAAGACCTTTGTAAATTATAATAGCCGATTTCCCTGCAAAAAGGAGGGATATATTTAGAGGCTCCTTGGGAGAATGAACTGGCCCCAGGGATTGGTAATGGACTGTACAGCCTTTCACCTCAAGGTCAGTAGGTCAAATCCAAACCGGGCCTGAGTGGCTGAGAGGCATTGTTTGAGTGGCAGCTGTTGGGTGACCAGGACGAAAGGAGCGGGAGGTTCCGCCGCATTTCAAGTGAAGCGAACAGGTGCTGTCTGCACGGGCCTGGCAGAGGATGAAAGAGAGTGGTCAGAAATCGCCTGAGCCTGGTCTCTCGGGCCCAGAGGCCGTCTTTGACCTGGCAACATGAGGAGCTGGCCTCGCAAGCACTGTTGTGAGAGGAGGGAAGCTCAGGGAAGGACACATGTCTAAACTGCCCAGGCCTCCGGAGAGGAGGAGGAGGGTGTGCCAGCTGAGTGGAGGCTCACGCTGCTCGTCTGAGGAAAGACTTCCGGAGCTGAGCTTCCCACTGCCTCCCACCTCACCGCCTCACTCCTCACACCCTTTCTGTGTAATGGTGGCAGCACTGTTTTCTATTACTGAGTAAGGACAAACAAGTGAAGATGCAGAGAGATCAGTGGGAAGACTGCAGTGACTAAACTAACGCTGTGGGTTTTCTTGTTCTCAGTAGGTTTTATACCCTACACATGCTAGACTTTCAGCATCCAGGAGGTGGGGTATCAAGTGCGTAGCAGAGGAGGTCAGAATCTGGTAGCTGCTTCCTAAAAGCTTAGAATAGAAAGCTACCTTCGTCCCACCTCTTGGTTTGGCTGTTGAAGAAATTGAAGCCCAGACAGTCTGAGGCGGGTGGGTCACCGTGTCAGGGTCTAAGTCACCAGCAGCAGAGGCAACTCCAACTGCCGTGAAAAGCGCTTGGATGCATCGAAAGGATGTGGAGTAGCTCTCAGCATCTTAAGGGCAGCGTGTGTGCTGTAGCTGAGAAGGCGGAATCCTTAACCCGGGCTGTAACAGTCCCTTAAGGGAGGCCCTTGTCATTGCTTTAGCCTCTGGTTACAGGTTAGGGCAGGGAATGCCCCGCTCTGGACACAAAACTGGCACACTCTTGCTTTGAAAGCGTCTACTCACATTTCACCCTCTAAGAGAAGCCTTCCCTGACCACTCTATGTAAAATAGTAACACGGCCCACCAATGTGCACTCTCTTCATTTTATCCTTCCTTTATTGCTTCCCGCAGCACTTATTACCATCTTACAATTTACTCCTCTATTGATTATTTTTGGTCTCCACATCCCTAGAATGTAAACTGGAGGAACCAGGTTTTTGGTCTGGTTTATAATGCCCCCATGGTCCTATTTCCCAGGGGGGGAGTGTCCCCCAGAAGTTGCCTGGGGGAGAGGAAGTTCCTTTAGATTCCAGGTCTGGGCAAGTTTCAAAGCTCCTCCTTTGGGACGCCCACAGGGATGGAGGTAGGGGGCTCTTTTTGCAGAGTTTTCCTACTTTGACTGCATTCCAAGGTCCTCAGTTGCCTCTTCCCACATCCTAAAACATGGAGGAAAGGAGCTTCCTGAACACATGAATGAACAGGTACAGAAGCAGGGGAAAGGGCACCGGCAGCCAGAGTCCCTGTGCTGTTTGGATGCCACATTTTCAACCAAGTTTATGATTGAAGGCTAAAGGGACCTGTCTGCTAATGTGGCTAAGCAAAGATTCCTCCTAGCTGTATCTAGCCTCTCCTCCATTTTTCTTTTTCTCCTTCCCCCCTCCTTGCACCTGCAGCCTGACACCCCCCTCCATCCATTTCACAGGAAAATAAATCTCTGGGAGGAGGCAGGGAGAGTGGATCTCAGAGAACCCTTTTGAATAAATGTCTATATTAATGAATTATTAACTCAGCCACCCATGACCTTAAACCTAGAAGTGGGAGCACCCAGGGCAGAGAGGAGAGCCGCTGAATCCTTTATTGGAGTCCTGTCAAAGGCACCTGCCATTTGCTCCCCTCCCCCACCAGGAAAAATAATTAATATGAAAGGTAAACTTTTTAATTGTATGTCAAACGAAATCAGATAGAGGGTCTCTCCTACAGAATTCGCTTCTTGTTTTCCTGCCCATTGCTGTCCTCCCTCCCTACTCGGGCCTCTGGCTGCATTCTTCCCTTCCCAGTTAAGGCTACAATGCGCTTCCTAAGGATCATTTTGGGGGGGGGATGTTCAAGAAAATGATGAATTTGGGTAGTTAATTTATCGATCTTTACTCTTCTTCCCACTTGTTTTATTTTAGAGGTCATTAATCAATGAAGAAAAACACCACTGTGTCCCCCGGTTTGCATTTAATACACTCACGCTCCTTATTTATTCCTCTGGAACAAATTCCCAGCAAATATTCACCCATCGATTTGGGAGCGATGGATTTTTATAAAGGTTTGATTGCTTCCTAAGTGGTCGAAGTGATTTGTTTCCGCTCTGAGTAACGAAGAAGAGGGGAGTGAATTTGAGGGGTGCATGTCCTTGTGTTTGGTGGGAATCACTTTCTAATCCTCCCCCCCCACCCCCCGGGCGCACGAAGGTGACCGTGACCGAGCAGACCAGGGTCAGTTGTGCGAGGGGAAGCAACCCCCCCCCCCCCCCGCCCCGGGTCCCGCCTACTGCCCCCGGTGAGCAGGGGCCTTCTGGTACATTCCCCTGGAGACGGTCTGGTTCGCTCCGGGGCCTTCTGAGCGCGGCTTCAAACTTTTCCCTGTCTCCTTCAAGCGAGGTTCCCGTGCCATCTGGGCCCTAGGGTCCTGTCGCCTGAGACTGACCCGTGCCTGCCCTGTGACGCAGGGCTTGGGGGAGCTGGAATCAGACAGGTCAGGAACAGCGCAGTAGGCATACCGGGAGGGCCTTGGGAGGGCCTTCTTTACCTGCGCTTCTTCCTCTGGCCCCCACAGCAGGGAAGCCAAATCTCTCCCAAGGTACCTCCCGCCCAGTCTGGCGTCAGTCTGGCCAGAGTGGACAGAGGTGTGACCAGGGTGGACAGGAGATGTCTTGGCATATCACTGACCGTGTCTGGGATCCGTCTCCATCACTCATTAAAGACCTGACCTTATGCAACTCACTTAACCTTTCTGAGCCTCAGTGGTCCGCATCTGTAATATGGGGGCAATAATAATGCCTTCTCCGCACAGCTGCTAGGTGGACTAAATATACATGAAGCGCCTGCCCGCGCCTGGCACATCATTAACGGGTCAAATCTTACTGCAGTGAGAAATCCTCCCTCCCCTGCTTCCCAGAGTGTTGGCGGCAGAGGGCTCCGAAGCAATTGCCACAGCTAGCATCTTAAAATCTTGAGACTTTCTAGTGAGGGAGGACGGGAAGTAGGTAGGGATCTGGGGGACCTGGAGTCCTGGGGACCACGCCTTGGGAGTAGCAATCTTTGGACAGAAACAAGAAGTTGGGCGTCCAGGCTGCTGTCGCAGTGTCGGGACTTCCACCCCCAGAGCTCCCGGGGAACACAGACGTGTCCTGGTTTCTCTGCAATGAACCCGGGAGAGTGTGAGAGCGTCTTCTCCTTTCTTAGCCCGACAGCCACTCCTCGGCAGTTTTGCGAGCAGATTAACTGAACCGGGCCTGGAACTTCATTCTCTCCTCCTGATGGGGTTGTTCAAAGTCTGCGGAGACTGCCTGGCTAGCCTCGGGTCCACAGAGCCGTGCGGGTTTTCCCTCCTGGTGTTTGCACTGAACTTGGTTGCTATCAATCTATCCAAGCATGACGGATTGCCTTGTCATAACGAGCCAGTCAAAACATTTTTGGTCCAACTCTGTTCCAAGCAGCATCGGGCGTCCTGCGTGAGACTCGGACAAAGTCTTCACAGCGCGTTTCCCAGGCTCGGGCAAAATGAGTGGTGGGAAGACAAAAAGAAACAAGCAGAAATCAGGAAACAATGGTTATTAATTGTTCAGAGTGGCAAGTGCTAAATAAATCCGGTTGTTTGGGGAAAGATAAATGCCATTTCTTTGAGGTATGGACAGAACTCAGGCGACGGGAAGATGCCTGCGTCGGTCAGTGTTGCGCACCCTGTCGGCGCTCTCTGCCACCGAGTGCCACGAATGCCAGAAAGGGCCGGGGCCAGCGCCTGGTTCATGCAGGGCAGACTGCCGACGAAGGGCGGCTGCGGGCCAAGGCCGGGAGAAGGCTCGGTGGGGAAGGGCGGAGCTCCTACCCTGCACCTCAGGTCTTGGGAAGAGAAACCTGTACGTGACCTCCTAGGGCAGCACCGGGCAGCCGAAGTCAGACAGCCTCGCCAGTGTCCAGGAGCGATGGAGCCACCAGAGACAGCTCTGGACACTTGCCTTGGGAAGCCAACCAGGAGAGGGAAGGGGCCCTCCAGGAACACGACCCGAGAGGGTCGGCCGAGCGCTTGGCGGTGTGCAGACTCCATCGCAGCCGCCTCCCAGCCCCTTCGCCGGGCTGGAGTCCCACCAGCACCCGCTGCTCTTGAGACCCTCGGCCCCAGGCCTCCCTGCCCCACGCCCGCCTCCTGGGCTGCAGACTGAGGGTCTCTTTCCATTGCGCAGCGCCCCACCCCAAACTTTTCTCCCCAGAGGATTTGTGTTAGCGGTTGCCTGGCAGGAGAGGCCACTCGGGCACCCAGCAGCACTCCAGGAAAGAGCGAGCCGGGCAGAAGCGCAAAGCGGTCCCGGCGGCGCGCGCTCGCTGCGGCGCGGACACCCGAGCGCGTGCGAGGACGCGTTCCGGTTTCTGCGTTTCCACTGCTTTCAGGATCAGGGCACTGAGCTGGCACCGAGAAAAGACATATCACAGACAGAAAGAGACAACAGGCGGGCCGGACACGTCACGCCAAAAAATGAGGGGTGGGAGGGTGGAGGCGGTATTTGTGCGGGAGAGGCGCGCGGGCTGTGTGGGTCGGGGCGAGTTAGAACTTCCTTCTTCCCTCTCCCCTCCCCTCGGCCTCCTGGCCTGCCTCCCGTCCCGCTCCCTCCCGCCCCCTCTCCCTTTCTTCTCCCCCAACCCCCCCAACCCACACACACACACACACACACACACACACACACACACACACTTGTATTTTGTGCTGTCGTAAAACCCACGTGTCCAGCCGGGAGGCTGCCAGAGCGTGGAGCCAAGGAGCGGGGACGCGGTGGCGACGGAGCACAGCAGCCCACGGCGGCTGGTTCGGCGCCCCTGGCGGGGCTGCTCTCGCGCCCTCCGCGGGCCTCCACGTCCCTCGCTCGCAGGCACGAGGGCTGCGGCCGGCCAGATCTCTAGGGTTCTCCGCCCGCGCCGCCAGAGGCATGTAGCGCACGCGGGGCGCACGCCCTCCCTCCCGCACGCTCGCCAAAACTCACACTCGTACTCACCAGCGGCTCCGAGTTTTCGAGAAAGGTGAGGCTCGTCTGGGGCTGAGGGTCTAGGGCAGGGTGGGTAGGGAGGCTGGAGGTCCCAGGCTGGGGGCGGGGGGCGAGACTGTCCCGCCTCCTGGCGCCTGAGGCCAACGCGGCCCGGGCGCTGCGCCACTCCGGCTCGGGTCGGCTCCCGACGCTGGCCGAGGGCGGGGGCTCCGTCCCGCAGCCCAGTTCTGTGCGGAGGCCCTCCGGTTGGGTTCCAGCCTGGCAGGGTGGGAGCTGGGGGCGGCGGGCAGGAGGCAGAGCGGGTGCACCTGGCCTGCGAGCGAGGGACGTGGAGGCCCGCGGAGGGCGCGAGAGCAGCCCCGCCGAGGCGCGGGAGCGCGGGCACACTTGGGCAGAGCTCCCTCTGCGCGGCGCCGCGGCTTCGGAGTAAACTTTGTGCCCTGGAGGAGTTGGGAAGAGGGAGCTGCCGAACCCGGCTGCAGCGGGCAGAGCCACGGCTCTGGCGCTCGCTCCAGCGTCCCAGCGGCCCTCCTCCGCGCCCTTCTCGCCCAGGCCCTGGGGCCAGCTCACGCGCACCCTCCTCCCTGCCCTCTGCCCCCAGCTCGAGGCATCCGACATGCTGAAGCCGGGAGACCCTGGCGGCTCGGCCTTCCTCAAAGTGGACCCAGCCTACCTGCAGCACTGGCAGCAACTCTTCCCGCACGGCGGCGGCGGCCCGCTTAAGGGCGGCGGCGCCGCGGGTCCCCTGGGCGCGCCGCAGCCCCTTCAGCCGCCGCCGCCGCCGCCGCCGCCACCGCCGGAGCGCGCCGAGCCTCCACCCGACAGCCTGCGCCCGCGGCCCGCCTCTCTCTCCTCCGCCTCGTCCACCCCAGCGTCCTCCTCCACCTCGGCCTCTTCTGCCTCCTCCTGCGCCGCTGCCGCCGCGGCCGCCGCACTGGCAGGTCTCTCGGCGCTGCCGGTGTCGCAGCTGCCGGTGTTCGCGCCTCTGGCCGCCGCTGCCGTCGCCGCCGAGCCGCTGCCCCCCAAGGAACTGTGCCTCGGCGCCGCCTCGGGCCCGGGGCCCGCCAAGTGCGGCGGCGGCGGTGGCGGGGACGGCCGGGGCGCCCTGCGCTTCCGCTGCAGCGCGGAGGAGCTGGACTATTACCTGTACGGCCAGCAGCGCATGGAGATCATCCCGCTCAACCAGCACACCAGCGACCCCAACAACCGTACGTAGCCGCGGCCCGCGCGCTCACTCCCGGGGCGCGGGCGCCGGCGAGCGCGGGCGCCTGTCGGGGAGGTGACACGGGGCGGGGAGCAACTGGTCCAGGCCGCTGGCCTGCGCCTCCCAGACCACTGTGGCAAAAGTTTCCTGGCGTTGAAGAAGAAAGGAGAACACAAGGGAGGGCCGGGTGGCACTCTGGGATTGCCTCCCCTTCCCTCCCCTCACCCCCTGCTTCGCAGCCCCAAGCACTGGGGACTGGAGCTGCCCGTCAGCCCCGCAGTGCAGACTGCCGCCCGGGCTGGACGCTGCTGGGGCCGGGTGGGTACAGGCAGCGCGACGAGGAGCCGGCAGTGTGCGGGCCCTGGCGGGGACAGGGGGGGACGCTCGGTGTTTGGGGCAGCGTGGAGAGCGGGGCTCGCTGCGCTTCTCCACTCCACCTCTGAAGTCAGCTGCAGCCAGGTCGTTTTCGGGCCATGGGTTGCGGGGGCCTCGCTGGAGTAGTTTTGGGTGACACTGAGTCTGTCTCTCCCTTACAGCAGGCATTATTCTTAGGTCTACTCTTTATTTTAAAAAGAAGCAAAAGAAAAAACTGCCGCTACTTACCGTGAAGCGCATTTCCGACTTAGGTCGGGGTTGTCCGCTACTGATCCCGCGTTCTCCGCGCACCCTGACCAACCTGCAAACGCGTGCGATCCGTGTTGCTTTGTTTATTTATTTTTAGAAATTCGGGTGACGGTAATTTAGTAAAAAGAACCTTACTTCCTTCTTCCCTCAAGTAAATAGCAGATGCCTAACTAAACGTCAGGACTCTCTGGCTTCGTTCCTATATTCACAATTTCAAACGCCTATCACAAATACAGTTCCATTTTGAGGTTTTAAAGCAAAACTCTAAGTGAAGATCAAGAATGTGTATTGCTTTATATCTGCTTCTTTTTGCTAGTTTCAGAAGTTCTAAATTGTTTACACCTAACGTTTGGGGTAAGTGTAAAACATACTGTCAGAGACTTCTGGAGGTAGCCTCAAAACAAGTTAAAGGAGTCAGATTGAAAGCAATACAGGATTTGAAAGAGTAGCATTCATTTAGCTATTTTCTTCATCTTGTGCCTTCATCTGGTTTCTGTATGAGAAAAGTTGATCATAAACATTTATTTTTATTCTATTTTGAATGAGTTGCTCCTGGCAGAATGTTTACCACTCTGTGAACTTCTTAATTCACTGTAAAAGCAGAATAACTTCATTTATAGCCATTTAAAGAATTCCCAAAGTCATTGCTTTGATGAAAAAACACCAGGCATCAGCCTAGTGATTGAGGTGTTATTATATTTTCTTAATGTTGGAGATAATTGTGATGGAGATAATTACAAGCAAAAAGCAGTTATATTTACTTTTTCCTTTCTAGAGTCTGAGGGTAAAGTGCTGGTTTAAAATGGGGATTTTGATTTTTGCTGTGCAGTTAAGTAAACTATTGTATTTTAGAGTTTCCGAAAATTTCACAAAATTATATTGTCTTAATGGAGTTTTTAAAAATACTTATTTCCTACTTATAATACTTATTTCCACTTCTTGAATGTGTTGTTTTCAAAGCACATCTTTTTAAAAATGTGAAATAAAAAGATAAAGCCTTTGGAAAGGCATTTATTATTGCTTAGTAAAATATAGTTATTGCAGGCTGGGAGTGCTTCACTAACTTACAGTTTCTCTTCTGAATCAAATCTGCGTGCTGGGAAAGACACCAGCAACACACCCCAAAGCCCTGGCTGTATGATGAGCTCCCTAAATTGTTTACAATGCAGTATTGAGATTTAATACATTTTAGCTAGAGAAAACTTAGACTAATCAGAAAAAGAATTAGGATAGATTCCTAATTAATATATGTCTATCGAACCAGTTTATTGCCTAGGTAACTTTTTTCTCTAGTTGGAGGAAATGAATTATGAATTTATTTAAATTATTCCTATTTGTGTTAATCTCCTGGTATCTCCTTTTGAGTGGACTGGATTGCCTCAGTGTGCAGGGAAAAAGACAGAGGGAAAGGAAGTTAGATTGTCCTATTAGAGTTACACTCCGCTGCTCACTAATTAAAGGGCAATTGAGAAAGAAAATAGAAAGCTGAGGTAGTGCTGTGTAACGATGGCAGACCAGGTCTCCCATTCTTCCAGGAACTTCTAGCAAGCGAGGCTTAGGCGCTCCTTTGAATCCATGGGATGTGTTTTATGAAGATGAAAAGTGATTGAGTTTACTCTAGGGGCTTAGAACAATTCAGAAATGCAAAGGTTGGGAAACTTTTCTCCCTTCACCGGGGAGGTTGGTACAGTGGTTACTTGAAAGACTGTGAAAAACAGAAGCTTCTCCTCATTCCTGAGTTGCATGTGAGTGGGGGTGAGGTTAGAGGCAGGGTGGAGGCAGAAGGGAGACTCCTATTAATCAATCCCATGTAGATGTCTGTAGTTTTCCTTTTGGTATTTTTGGCCATCTACCTCTAAAAGAAAGACTGTGAAGTGACCATTCAACATTGCTTCCTTTTTGTCACATTGTACTTAAAAGAGTATTGAGTCATTTTCTCTTTTTCTTACAAGGCAAAAAAAGGGAGGGGGGCTTCCTTACCTCTCCCTTCCCTTTGATAAAGTTACTTTTTGCCTGGGATCAGCAAGACATGACATCATTGTTCTGTAAGAAAAGAACTCAGTAACACTAGTTTCACCTTGAAACTTTATGGGCATCTATGACAAATACCACAGTGAGGGGGCTTTAGCTTTCTTAAGCACAATAGGATTTTAAAACAGCAGAAACTGTGCAAGCCAGCCCCGGGGAGCACTTGCAGTATATTTGTTATCTAAGTCTATCAATTTATTCTGTGACTGAAGTCCACTTTCACTGAAGCTCTGAATGCTTAGCTGCCGCTGCTGCTTTCTTCTCTTGTAAGTCAAGTGGCACGAGGTGTAATATAAATGAGGGATGGGGCCCTTCCTTCCCCTTCTTGTGTTACTGCCCATATTTGCTGCTTCGTTGCCTGAAGCCATTGATTCGGTGAGGCTCCATGGCAGGGGCCTCTCCTCAGGTTCTGGGAGCTGGTGCGAGCTGGTGTGACCGTGTCCCCACTCCTGGAAGGTAGTGAGAGGAGTCTCCAGGCGCGCCTGGCGTTCCTATGGAGAATTCCCGGATCTCCTCTTGGCGGAGCCAGTTGGTTTTTGAAACCCTTTTGTGAAGATGTTCCTCCATAGTACCTGGTAGGGAGGTGGGAGTTGAGCAGTTGGGTGTCTCAGCGGAGAGTTAGACCACCCTGTAACTTTCCCAGCTAGGGGGTGGCTCCCTGTCCCCTTTCCACATACAGAAGCCATCCTGCGCAGGGAACAGCGCGGGGAACCGCCCTGGTGTGTGTATGGGTTTAGGAGCTGGGCCTGAGGCTCCCTTATTGGTAGCGCCAAGCTTTTTAAGGGTTTGGGGACAGGGGCTGGGGAGAGAGAAGGAAATCTGGGTCCAACACCGATTTGTCTGGTTGTGGGGTGAGCGCTGTGGGGTTAGGGAAAGAGATAAAGGCGGGCAGTGTTTCCTGACTTTGCCTTAATCTCTTCCCACACAGTTGGAGGACGCAAATCCTGTTTGGGGAGCCTGGAGCCCAGTGGCTCACCAGCGGGCTGTTCGTGCCACTGAGGCACGTCGGCTGCGCCCCTGCCCCTACCGCCCAGCGTCCCAGCTGTCAGTGACCAGCCAGCGACTTAGATTTCAGACCTGGTCCGGTGGGAGGGAGCCTGGGCGTCGGTGTGTGGGGTTTTGTATTGTTCTGATTTTCTTCTTCTCTTTTCTCTCTTTTTGTGTGCAGACCCCGCCCCATCCGGTAAACACATGATTTAGCTATTTTACATCTTTCGTTATCTAGCGCCCTGAAACTGAACATAGAGCCATATATTAGATTGAGGTTAGAAGAGGTGGCGACTGTTTATTTAAGGTGATAAAATGGTCCATCAGCAGTAATCTCCATCGATATGTGCCACCAGGAGATGAAGGATGAGGGGACAAGCCACAATTAATTGCCCTATAGTTTTGTAGGAGAGAGTGGAGCCAGCCCAGGCCCGCTTCGATCCCCTCTCGCGGCTCCTATCCATCATCTCCGCGGTGTGCGCGGCGGCCTCGCAGGGCAGGGGCCGGCCAGGTTCAGCTCCGCGCGGTGTTCTCTCCCCTCCCACGCGGGCGCTCGCCTTTAATTTATTAATACATCGGGAGACAAATAAAACCCACGTTTTCTCCCTCCCTCCTGTGCCTCCCCCTTTGTCTCTGCCTCTCGGTCCCAGGGCCCCGCGGGCAGCGGGCGGGGCAGAGAGAGCCCAGCGCCCCCGGGGGTCGCGGAGAGCTTAAGCTCGGGAGAGGGAGAGGCGCGGAGGGGCCCCCGTGGGCCGGCACGACCGCAGTCGGCTCC